TAGAGGACCTCAGGTCGGGCGCGGCGCGGGCCAAGCGAGCGCGAGATGCGTAAATTCGTTTTGGGCCCAATAAAGATCTAGCTATCTAGCTATGATGGTCTCAATGCAGTGGCTTACATAGCAGAAATTCCAACTCGGAATAAGCAAAAACATGTCAGAGAAACCAAACACACGCCACAAAGTGCACGAAGATGCAGTATTGCACCAAGGGTTCCAGACAGCTAAGCAGGGATATAGTCTCCTTTAGTCCCTGCTGGTTGTTCTATGACACATTTTCCACAGCTTGTGCTGTTAGCAAACTAGATGGCATGGGACTGATGGGAGTCACAATATTTGCACTTTATTAAACATGTCAAATTTTATTTTACGAAACATTATACTTGTCCCATTGTCTTCAAGTCAGCAGAAACCTGCAGTACAAACAAACAGAGTTTCATGGCCAATAATTGAGGGTTATCCTCGTGTGAGGACCTGAAACGAGGCTCCAGTGGCAGCTCTGATATCGTCCAGACTCACTCCCTCCCCAATCTCCACCAGCCTCAGACCTCTCTCCCTACACACCTCAAACACCGCCTGTGGCAGACGATAAGACCAGTGCACTATCTCCTACACAGTATGTACATGAGGTGATGAATTTCACAAGTGGAAAAATCATTTCTTCAAAATGAAAGGGGGATATAGGGATGGCGTGAAGCACCAAAAAGGAAGAAACAAGGGGTCATTACACACCAAATATGCACAAAGCCACATGACACCATCCCTATATCTTTGTCTCATATTAAACTTTGCTTATAAACAATAAAACAAAGATATAGGGATGGTGTCATGTGGCTTTGTGCATATTTGGTGTGTAATGACCCCTTGTTTCTTCCTTTTTGGTGCTTCAAGCCATCCCTATATCCCCCTTTCATTTTGAAGAAATGATTTTTCCATTTGTTTCCACTATTTATAATGGCTTATGACAACACTGCGTTTTCAGTCACTCTGATGTTCATGGGTATGTTGTTAAGATAACTGTTGAAAGCAGAAGCTAATGGACTGCTCTTACTTGAAGCAGGGTGTAATGCGTAGTGTCTCCAACAAGGACGCGATTAGGTTGTGGCACATATGGTGGTGGTGGTTTCATTGGGCAGGCTTCAGAAATCAGACTACAATGATAGCTATAACCTAGGGGACTAAGAATGAAGGCGCCTGGCAAGGCACATGGCCAAGTTGCTCCTCGTGCAAATCAACAGCAAAACGCAAGCTAGCCACTTACAAAGTGTACACTGACTTACAGAAGGCACTGGAGGATGAGAGTAGTTTTCTCTGAAGGCATCCAGTCTTGGCTTAGTCTCGTTCGTGGACCAGGTTTACGAGACAAAATGCGCGCGCGCCGCATTGGAAACGCCCTCCTCGGCGCACTGATGCAGCAAAATGGCGTTGTTCAGTGACTACCGAGGAAGAACTCAACGATCTACCGTAGTGACTTGCGGCAAGAAACAAACGATCGCTTGATATGTGTGCACACCTCCGGAAAATTCTAAGACGTTCTGTGAAAAAATCAACGCTTCAAGTGCTTCCTGTAAGGAGCTAGCGGGTCTGAAGAAGAAGAAGATGAAGAACATGATGATGATGATGATGACACGAAAATCGTGAAATCGCGTATGAGCGAATTCTCGCGTGGACGACTGAAGGTGCGTATGAGGTCTTGGGGGACATGTATAGGTAGATATGGGCCCGTAGACTATTGCTAGTATGTTTTGAAGGCCTAGGGAGTGATTCTCACCGAGTTTTTAGTCGTTTTGTACGCGGATCACGTGAGATTTCACCCGCGTCATCCCTAGAGAGTCTACCGACTCTCTAATAACGTATTTTCCAATATCTTCCTTTCAATTTTAAAGGCTTTAGAAACAAGAAGTAGTTGCAACCCAGTATCAGAGTCAGGGAGGCAGGGAGGCAGGGAGAGTGGGGCACAACAAAATGATATACATTGAAAGGCAGGTTTAGCTCCAGTTATATACCATCTCAGTGACTATAAGATCCACCACATTCTTGCCGGTCAGAGGCAAACTGCACTCGTCCAATATCTTATAAGCTCCTCCCTATACAACAACCACACACAAGATATAACTGCAGGTATATATTACAGAGGAGCATGTGATGTTGCGTTTCTAGTTATTATCCTGCGACACAGCAAAAGCAAAATGCATAATTGTTTTTGGCTGCAACTTGCATCATAATTATCATAGTCTCGTGAACCAGGTTAAGATTGAACTGAAGCAGGTAATAGCATGGCACCATACCTTGGCCGTGTGCTCCATTGTGACCACGACTCTGGTGGTGGGAGAAGAGACGAGGTCCATGGCTCCTCCCATTCCCTTCACCATCTTCCCTGGGATCATCCAGTTAGCCAGGTCTCCATACTGAGACACCTGACACACAGATTACTAGAGATTACTGGGATATACTGATAGTAAACCATATTGGGAACACAGTTTACTCGGTAGTACCTGCATGGCACCGAGCATTGTCATGTCAATGTGCCCACTGTTTAAGAAAAAAGGAGGAATGAAGAGTGTCAATATCAGAGATAATGAGAGGGGCTTACCCTCGTATCATGGCAAATGACTCATCACTGGAGAAGAAAGATCCTCCATCAAGAACTGTCACTGTCTCTTTACCTGCACGGTAGTCTCACCCTCGCAACCAGCCAACCAGAGAGAGAGAGAGAGAGAGAGAGGAGAGAAACTCACCAGCATTGATAAGGTCTGCATCTTCCTCCCCCTCAAAAGGAAATGGACCCTGCGAAACAGGTTGTTGTTTGAACTAACTATAGGGTCTCCCCACTCACAAGCCCTAGTACTCCGTTTTCACTTTGTAGCGTGACTTTCATCCCGTCTGGAATGTAGTTGCTAGCCAACATGGGCATACCAATCCCCAGGTTGGCTCGGAAAACAGTATTCCCAAATTACGAACCTGCTCAGCTGGAAAAGATGAGCATACCATACATTCCATCTCTAAATTCGAGAGCCGCTCTGCGAATGATTCTCTCCCTAATTCTTGCACCCTCGCTGGTCCCCTGTCCCCCTGACCCCTCCCCCTCCTCCCCTCTTCTTCTTAGTGTCAATCTCTGTTAGAGACATCAGCAGAACATGCACAGTTAAACTCAGAATAAGGGACATCACTATATATCATTCAGAGGTGTCCCTTACTCAAAGGTGGTAATGCATTAATATGGGGCAGCGGTAGTGTTCTTTATAGAGAGGTGTCCTTATTTAGAGGGTTTTTTTCAGAGATTTCACTGTCTGTGATTTCCTGACTTCAATTCTCTTCTCATAGCTGTGTCCCAGGACCACTCTATCCACATAGACGTGAGGAAGGTGGATGTCCTCTGCTACAAACGATCCCTCCACTATCTCCTCCACCTGACAAGTCACATGATCAACAGACAGGTCACACGACAGTCATGTGACTGGCTCACCTCAGCGATGGTACACCGGGCAGCCTTCCCCATGGGTACATTAAAGTTTCGAGCTGATTTTCTGAAGACCAGGTTTCCACTGTTGTCAGCCTTCCAGGCTTTGATGAGGGCAAAGTCTCCAGTTATGGCTTCCTCCATGATGTACTGACGACCACCAAACTCTCGATGCTGGTATATAGAGAGAGGGGGGTAGAGAAAAACAGATAGGAATATGAGTACTGATAGCTAGCGTCTACGATATTGTTTGTGTCTAGTGGTGTAGCAGGTGTCACGATTCATTTCAGTTTCATCAAATTCCACTGCCAATTGGGGATCCCCAAGGGAACAGGTACAGTACACTATCATTCATGACACTCCTTGACTCCCTCTACTAACACATCAAGCAATGCACAAACAGACCTAAAATAAACACAAGGAGTTGTCTTTGCAAACTTGTCGCAACATTTCCCTCACAAACAACAACCCCACCCCCCTGGCAGAGAAATGCCCACCTCTCTGGGTTGACTGGCAATCTGGACGCTGCCTGAGCCGTCGTATTTGATCGGAGCTCCTCCTCGGTGGACCAGAGTCCCGTAGGCCGTGGGGGTAAAGAAGGCAGGCACCCCAGCTCCACCTGCTCTGATCCGCTCTGCCAGAGTTCCCTGCAGCAGAAACACTGACATATTAAGGATGTTTGCATGATAGATGAGATAGAGATTCACAGAGAGTGTATATAATGAGATGTGACCTGAGGAGTTAGCTCCACCTCCAGCGCCCCGGACAAGAACTGTCTCTCAAACTCGGCGTTCTCCCCGACATAAGAGGAGATCATTCTCTTCACCTGTCGTCCCTCCAGTAACAGACCCAGCCCAAACCCATCCACACTGTGGAGGATAGTGGTGAAAATCTAGTTAACAAAACAGTGGCAACAAATTAATCTGCCATGGATATTGAAAATTAAAAAATTTTTCAGCCTCTTCAGCCTAATTGTGAGACTCTAGAAGGAATGGTGAAGAGCAGAGCAATAGATAGTCTCCACGGTACATTTCGTGTTGTAATGGAAGTGTGAATGGAAGTGTGTGTTGGGTAGTGTTTCACCCTGCATTGTTGCTGGCAATGACCAGATCCCTCACTCCCTTCCTCCTGAGAGCTCCAATCAGGTTCTCTGGAATGCCACACAATCCAAATCCTGCGAAATCCGCCATAAATCTCAATCCGGAAGGATCTGTTTTTTCTAACCTCCGACTAAAAGTTTTGAGCCATTTGCCACATCCTCGACTGTGCTCTCTGCAGTCTCATAGAACTGGACGTCACGTGAGGAGGACACGGAGAGACCACGCTACAACACAATACTACATTACTACCTCTGCATTGTACTAAAGGGGGGCGTGGCAGGAAAACAAACCAACACGTGGGGAAGAGTGTAGCCGAATTCACTTTACTCGACGCCTCACCTTGCTTTGGCTAGCCAGGCGAGAGAGGGAAGGAAGCCCACGCCGAGCTCTCGGCAGGGACCAGAGCCACCATGCCATAGTTTGTCCGCAAAACTGCAAACTCTGAATGCACCCTGACCTTTGGAAAACTACGTGGGTGTGGCTACGCTACAAAGCTAGCTAGCTGGGATGGAGGGAAGCGTGCCTCAGCAGCACCTGCTGGGACTGAAAGGCAAGCCTTTACGTCGCCTCTCTGCGTGTACTCCGTCTCCTCTCGTACACACACAGTGATGAGACTGACGAAGCCGATGCTGAGCTATGCAGTTCCAGTTCTTGGGGAGCCTTGGGACATGTTAGGTGAGCCATTATGTCATCACTAGTCTGTATTGTAAAAAGCCCTGCCTCAGCTAAGTCATCCACATATACACTATTGTATATGATGGTGCCTTCTCCACAGGGACGACACTGGAAGAGAACCTCTCCCAGGACATCCGCAGCCCGAGAGACCTGCCAGCCTGCTCCACCGGAGAGACGCTACGGCTGCCCATGAGCTTCGGGTCTGTCTCTCCCTCCTCCGGTAGAGGGGTGTGGTTTATGGGTGTGGTCTCACTGCAGGCTGATATTCCTGGGGGAGACTTTCAACGGCTTCATTTCAGTCCACAATGACAGTCAGGATGTCGCCAAAGATGTGGCCGTAAAGGTATTAATACTGACAAACTGAAAGAAGAAACCTTCGAAAGTGAAAACAATTCCACAGACTTTTTGTTAAACTATACCCACACCCACAAAGGAAGCATTTGTGCTCATATTTGAAGTATTTTCCTGTGCAGGTGGAGTTGCTGACTCCGTCTCACCGTCATCTGCTCCTGTCGGAGCCCCCCCTTCCCCAGCTGGACCCCTCCGCCTGCGAGGAGAGGATCATCTCCCACGAGGTCAAGGAACTTGGAGAACACAGGTCAGCTTCTTCCCCCCCCCCTCCCCTCTCTTCCTCTCCCTCCCCTGTGTATGCTTGAAATGTGAATATGTAGTATGTAAGTTAAGTGTGAGCTGTTATTTTGCATGGATCATCTCTCTCTACTGTAGTCTGATATGCACTGCCTCATATATGGTCTTTGCAACCGGAGAAGAGATGCTGTTGAGAAAGTTCTTCAAATTTGGGGTAAGGCTACCCTTCTCCCTACACTCAGATATTCAGTCTTGGTATAAATACAGGTAGCGAAGCCGCTGGACGTGAAGACAAAATTCATGAACATTGAGGTTGTTTAAAATACACAATCGAGTCATGTGACAGTCACATGATCTTCACACAGGAGGACATTCTTCTGGAGGTCCAGATACAGAATGCCACGCCCACTCACATGTTTCTCGACACCGTAACCTTTGACCCTTCGGCGGGGTTCAGAGCCCAAGACTTGAACACCATTCGCACCAACAAGTCGGCCAAAAAACCAACGATCCAACTCAATAATGTTTGTTTTGCAGTTCGGAGGTGTCAGTGTTTGGAAAAGATAACCTTCTTCCTCCACGGAACATCCGTCAACACCTGTACAAACTGACTCCCCTCGGTCCTCTACAAACTTCCGGAGTGGTCAGTCTCTGCACTGGTGGTGCAGACGGAGAACTTTTGGGAATGAAAACTGAAAGAAAACTTGTGCGAATGTAACCAGTTCCAAAGTTGTTTTATCAACAAATAGGCTGCGACCATTTTATTGTGGAACCAGCATCTGCAAATTTTAATGTTTTCTTTGTGAAATTCTAGGTTTGGTAGAACTTCTTACTAGTGTTGCATACTGGGTGTTACCCCATTGAATGTCCTACAGGTCAGTAATGTGCAGGTAGGAAAGATGGATATCGTGTGGCGATCTCGGTTTGGAGAGAGGGGCAGGATCCAAACTGGACAGCTCAAAGCCACAGTCAGCTCTCCCTGCCTTCTCCCCCCACCCAACCTCACTCTTTTCCTTCCCTCTCTCACTGAATGCAGCTGCCTCCACTCCCGCAGTTGAAGGTGACGGTGGTGGAGTCACCAGGTACTGTCAGTCTGGAGAGACCGTTCAGAATCACTCTCAGAGTTCACAACGGAAGGTCTGAACACAATACTCTCTCTCTCTCCTCAACTCTTGTGTGTAGTAGCTGTACACTGTGGCTCACTGAACATATTGCTAAAGACAGTTGGGTATTGGTGTGCTTCTTCCCTCATTGTCTGTCTCCTCCCACTCCAGTGGTGGACCAATGAGGCTTCGATCTGTACTGGAGAAACACCCAGGAGCTGGCATCCTCTGGACTGGCGTGACGGGGAAGGTATACGCATGTCCAGCCGATGAAATACGAAATTGTCAGTTCTGTTTAACGCCATTTGCAGGTCCATAATGAGCTGCCTGCTGGAGGTTCAATGGACATGGTAGTCTCTCTGCTACCAGTTCTTCCCGGACTACAGGTGTGCGTGAGCCTAAAGCTCTGTATAGTTGCAAAAGTCATGCTATGTAATGTGGCGAATGTGTCAGCTCACAGCACATTTACTGTGATACGAATCTGCCGATTCTCCATTTAATGCCTACTGTTATGATTATGTAATGTGGCGAATGTGTCAGCTCACAACACATTTACTGTGATACGAATCTGCCGATTCTCCATTTAATGCCTACTGTTATGATTAATTGTGTTCTCTCTTCGCTCTCTCCCATACAGAGCTTCAGTCCCCTGCTATTTGTGGACGTGCTGTCAAATCAAAAGAAGTATCATTTCAATAAACTCGGACAAGTTTTTGTAGAAATACAACCACCGGAAACATTAAGTAGTGCATAAAAAATATCTCATTGTCTGTAAACAAATTTTAAAAACTTGGTGTCTTTCTTTACTTGAAATTAGCGTACATTTCAAAGGAGTCGAGAAACTCAATGAGAGTCTGGTAGCAGAACCTGTATTGCTCCTGTAGACAGAGAAGATGGGGAGAGAGAGGGCAATGGGTGCCTGTCGTGATTGGCAAGGAGTGGTAAAACTTGCAGTTTTGCTGGCCTAGCCATTGAACGGCACTCCTCGAATAAAAAGCTCCCTATCAAGGACTCATAACCTCCAAATAAAGAACACCAGAGAGTTACACAGCAGCTCCACTGAATGCTATCTATACTCACAGGACTGGCCACCAGCCCAGGTCTCTGCATCCTCAACTTGCGGACCGTCTGGAACACATCCACCACTCCCTCAGTCTTCAGCCTCTCAATGAGGATGCTCACTGCTATGTAGGTCCCAGTCCTTCCACATCCTCCACTAGAGAGAGAGGGAATCATGGAGACTGTAGTACAGTGAAACTTCTTATAGAGTAGTCAAGACTTTGATGGTGAGACCCCATTGGCTATGACACCTTATGGCCCCAATGTGTCTTGGAGGTTCCGCTGTCTACTACCACAGATAGTTCTGACTGGCTGGTTTACATAAGTACCTGCAGTGGACTATGATGGGTTTGTTGTCGCAGCTCCTCTGCCACCTCTGGACCTGACCAATCAGATCGATGAGAGCCGACCCAGTCTCGGGGACCGAGTTCTCCGGCCAGTCCGTGTACTGGAAATGCTTCACGAGTCGCGAGGACTCGTCTCTCGTGTCCACAAGGTTGAACTCCCTAATACAACCATTACATCATCCATACACCCACAGGGAACACAGTATTCTACCTGAGAGTATAGTCAGGGTATGGAGTGGTCCCAATGAGTATGACCTGCAGGTAGTCGTACTGGCCTGCCCCACTGTTGGGCCAGTACATGTGACACTTCACCTGCAGACAAATGACCCCCACTGTAACTACTGTACTCCTGGTTATAGAATGCCTCATGGTTCTAAAGGAAATGGCTAACTAGTGTTCAGAATTTAAGTTTTGTTGCACTCCCAAGTGTTAATGTTTGTTTCCATTCTACTGAGATGTTCTATGAGGTAGTGACACGATCGCACAGTCTCTCTCACCTTCCCGTCATTCTCCTTGTGTTTGGTGAGCATGACAATGGTGGAGCTCTTCTGCTCCCAGACCATTCTCCAGAAGTCGTTCTCTGTGTCTGGGAGGGGACCTTGGGTGGCTATGAACTCCCTGGCACGATAGTAACCCTGTGTGCATGAGTATAGGTATATATGGCAATTGCATACAGCTTGTTACATTGATATAATTGGCATTGATATAGTCAGAGCCCTTTGCCCCTGGAATACTCTTCAACCGACACCTTGTGCTGTTATCTGTGTAATAGTGAAATCAACTTTGTTTTCACAATGTGGGCTAGCCCAAGTGGGCAAACTTACATGGAAGCATTTCACGATCAGCATATCTGTTCTTGTGCAAATTGACAGGCATAGTGCTGACTGTCTTTGGATGTCTGAGGTGCAGCGTGCTTTGCACCTTCTGGAAAGAGCCACACAGCATTTGGTGAGTCTTAAAACATGCCATACAGTAGTTCTACTAGAGTCCTGACCTGCAAGATTTTCTGGAGTCCAGTCTTTTGTCTGTGGCTGGGTCTATCTCGAGCAGTGTATGCAGCTGCTTATGCAGGTCTCTGGCAGCCACTTCAGTCACTCCACACTCAATGGCCTGCAGTAGAGTATCGTGAAGGAATATATACTGTTGCTGTAGGTATTACAGAAGAAGTAGTAATGTAAGTGTGTAAGCGTTGGCACGGATTAACTTTCTATAGAGCAGTGAAAGTAGTGTGTATGGAGATTAACTGCTTACCCCTTACCTCAGTCTGTACCATGTAGCAGCGTCTCCCTCTCATCCTTCGCACAAACCCAAAAATGTCAACACTCCCTTCCTTCTTGATCCTCTTCAGCTGAGCATCTAGTGTAATATATGTCCCTGTATGTCCCACACCGGGACTGCAATCAACAACACCACAATGGGAGCCAGCAATACATAATGTTCTTATGCAATACCTGCAGTGGACTATCATAGGCCCTGCGTTCATCGGGTTCGATGAAGACACCTTACGGACGAACTGGAGCAGAGGAGTTGGGTGGTCGGGCACGCCGCGATCTGGCCACACTGTGTAGTGGAACTGCTTCACAATCCTCTCCTCTTTGGATCCGTCCATTTGCACGGAGAATGTGCGGACGGTGTACTCTGCCAGGATCAAAGAGTCCTGGAAGTAGATGTGAATGGAGTCGAGAGCCTCTGTTCGCTCCATCTCGTCCAGCCAGTACTTGTGACACTTTATCTGAACAAACGGAAAGTAGCAAATAGAAAACGAAATGCTTGAATCTGTAGTGGAGTTTCACCCTTCTTTTCTCTTCCAAGTTGGTCAACATGACAATGGTGGCGGTGCTTTGCTCCCACACCATTCTCCAGAAGTCAGTCACAGTCGCTGGGACTGGTCACTGAGTTGCTATGAACGCATTCTGTTGGCCATAGCCCTGCACAACAAGCCACAACCAGTCTAATGTGTAGGCAGTGTATTTCAGTTGAGTGGTTCTTACGTCGATTCGGTTGGCATTAATGTAGTCTCACACCCAGGCTCGCTAGGAAGAACTGCCAACTGTACTCGAGAGTGATCATATTATGCTTTGATGTTGGCGTAGCGGTTCTTGGACTGATTCTCTGGTCGAAGACACACTTCTGACATGGGGGCATGGTCAGGCTCAACGGACGAGTACTCCTCAGCGAAGAGAAAATCATCATTGGAGTGAAGGTGAACAACATGAGCTGCAAAGTTTCTAACAGGGATTGGCTCAAATGTCCTCCCTGACATGATCAGAAAGTGGAATATTTCACACACAATGCACACACAGAGTGTAGTGTAATGGACTGACGGTGTGGAGCAGCCAGCGGGTTGGCTATAACATGACTGGAGATAGCTGTGACAGGGTTCTTGCTACTAGCCATGTCTTCCAGGGCAACCTCTTGTCGGATATCCAGCTTCTGGGAGCGATGCTTGCTGATCAGACACTCAATGTGTACACGTGACTCTGTGTTGGGTAGCAAATTAAGCTCACCGCCTCAAAATGAAGAAAATTAGAAGAATAATTGCGCAGGCGGCAGCAATAGTTACCAAGGTTACAATCACTCCACCAGCAGCTGCGCCGGCTGCATTGTTGTCAGCAATTTCATCTACGACAGATGAGAGCAAAAGGTTTAAGTGATGTAGTCATTCACAACCCTGCTAGAATACCTCTCGTAAAAAGGTTGGTGAAGTTGGTACGAATCCTGAGAGCCTCCCCCTAAAGTGACCACAAATTAAAACCGGTACATGAGAATGAATATTACCAACTTACAGTGTCTGATCTCAGATCTATTCTGACAAAGAAGCTGTAATCGGAGCCTGATTCCAGCCTAGCATTCATGTACCTCACACCATTTGCATACGTCACAGACTCATTTCCTATGACGTATCTCAGAGGTACACGAGTGATGTTCGCATTGGACCATGCAGCAGTGATGTTGTATACATCAGGTGTGTAGCTATACCTTGGCATCATCATAATCCACCTGCTTCATGCATTTATTCTTGATATCCTCTGATCAGTACCACAGCATAGAAACTGCAGGGAGAGAAAGAGAATAAAAAAATTGAAACCATTTTCTAACTCACATGACTTCTCCAGCATCAATATAGATGTGGTCTGGTAAGGTAACAAGTAAATTAATAATGCTGCGCATTTAAAAAAGAGGCATATAGGGATGGTATAAAAAGAAAGGGAGACAAGATAGGGGTGGGATACGTGAAGCATGGTTAATGAACAGATTTGAGTACGCTGACACCCCCAACCCCATCACACAATCCCTATATTGTTGCCTGGTGTGCTACTCTTATAGGGAATGTGGCATTATAAGGGCTAAAGGTTACAAAAAGCAAGCATTCTTTCACCGTGTCCCTGTTGTTTTTAGTAACATTTCTACTGCCACATTCCCTTTAATTAAACTCCACTTGGACTCTATAGGGGTGTTGGTTACTCAGTAGTGTATTGTAATGGTGAATGTTTGATACTTCACCTAGGCAACAATATAAGGATTGTGTGATGGGGTTGGGGGTGTCAGCGTACTCAAATCTGTTCATTAACCATGCTTCATGTATCCCATCCCTATCTTGTCTCCCTTTCTTTTTATACCATCCCTAGCTATATGCCTCTTTTTTTAATTCGCAGGATTTTTAATTTACTTGTCTCCATTAATTTTTATATACTACTACATATTATCTCTGTGGAATGGGGCAAGCCCCTTATAAAAATTAATAATAGAGAAAAAATGCCTGTTATCGTCATGAAAATGATATGCATACCATGTTTCATCTCCATGCGTGCTGCAGTTAGCCAGTTTGAGGAGTGAGGAAGTAATTTTAAAGAAAAGTGCCTGAGGCTATTTGTTGTTGTAGTCGTCATGGAAACGATGTAATACACATGCGTACCAAGTTCCATCTCCATGTGTGGTACCGTTAGCGAGTTTGAGGAGTGAAGAAGTAATTTAAAGAAAAGTGCCTGAGGCTCTTTGTTGTTGTGGTTGTCATGGAAACGATGTAATACACATGCATACTAAGTTCCATCTCCATGTGTGCTACAGTTAGCAAGTTTGAGGAGTGAAGAAGTAATTTTAAAAAGTGCCTTAGGCTATTTGTTGTTGTTCAAACAAAGTGGTTGTCATGGAAATGATGTTACACGCATGCGTACCAAGTTTCCCCTCCATGCGTGCTATAGTTAACAAGTTTGAGGAGTGAAGAAGTAATGTTAAAGAAAAGTGCCTGAGGCTATTTGTTGTTGTGGTCGTCATGGAAACGATGTTACACACATACGTACCAAGTTTCATCTCTATTCGTGCTACCATTGGAAAGTTTGAGGAGTGAAGAAGTACACTTAAAGAAAAGTGCCTGAGGCTATTTGTTGTTATTTACAAACATGGATTGTTGCTATTTTGATGTTGGTTATTGAATACATTATGTGTACAAACTTTCGTTCACATAGCTCTTACCAATTTTGAGTTACACTGACACATCTAGTATGTCCATTAAAATGTATTGTCCATTATAATGTATTGCCTGGGGCAATTTTGTTGTTGTTTACAGTAAATAACGTTGTTTACAAACAAAAAAGTATGACGTTGCACATGTGGTTATCGATATGTACATTCCTAAAAAATTTCATGGCTTTATCTCTTTCGGTTTTTGAGTTACACTGGTTTAAGAAGAAGAAGAAGAAGAAGAAGAAAAGAAGAAGAAGATGAACAAAACTCCCTATCATAGCCCCATACATCTATGATGCTAGGTACCATGTCAATCCCTATATACTAAGTACTACCGTACTAAGTACTACCGTACTTAGTGATAGTGATTGTTGTTCGAGAGTTCCCATCCGGTTGTATGGGTGTTGGTTGCTCTGTCGGGAGGTCGCTGAAAGTCCGGGCCACCACTTCCAAGAGAGCTCTGTTCAGCTCTGGCGGTGAGTCTGGCTCTGCACCAATGGCTCTTACGATGATGCTATAGTAGCGGTACACCTCAAGGCCACTTATGAGAGCCCGTGTTGTGTTGACACCCGTGACTCTCTTAATAGAGTAGCCATCAATGTTGATATTGCTGGGGGTCTTGTAGAACAGATGATGGGTCTAGATTAGTGGTGTCATCCGATATCTTCCTGTAGTAGATAATGTAGCTTGAGATAGGGCCATTGGGGTATGCAGGAAGGTCCCACGATACACTTATTGATGTTGAGGTGCTTCCTTCAGCTGCTAGATCAAGAACCACTGTCGGCTCTGTTTAAAAAGAAAAAGAATTAACAACGAAATAAAAACTCCAAGATCCTCTTCATTTGCTTACCGATAGCAATTGTTCATACAGTCATTGAATGGGGCGGTGCCCTGTTGTCTGTCTTTATATTGAATGGTTGGAGAGTGACAGTGTACTCGGCATAAGGCAGCCCATCTGGAATGGTAAATGTGCGCTGGTCTTCCGAAAGAATCAGAGTTTGGTTTGGACTAGAGCTGCTCCTCTGTGGAGGATAATCTGGCGTCTGGGTCCCAAAGTATGTGAACATAGTTTCGAAGGATCCGTTGCGATTTGATGCAGGAGTCCAGGAAATATCCAGTCTCACTTCAGTTAGTGAATTTGGTATTCTATCGAATTGATCATTGTGCTTGTGACAGCCAGTGGTGCAGGATTAGAGAGGAAGCAATTGTGTTGGAGCAGAATGTAGTAGATGCTGGTTACTCACCATCTTCTTTGGTCTGGTTGATGGCAGTGGAGACGTTGCTACAGCCTGAGCTGGTGTAAGCAAACAGAGAGATGCTGTGGTTGGTATTAGGGCTCAGACATTCCACAACAATACTAGTGTCGTTGGGACCAATGCCCGAGTATGTGGGTGGGATATTGCTAGCAATGGTACCAGGAGGCTCAGGGATAGGCAGAACAATGTGGTCCAACTAGAAGATAAGGAGCAATCTTATGAGTGTGGTCTGGATAAGCCGTGTAGCCAGTCCTGATAGCATAGTCACACTGTGGATGGGTCCATGTCACCTCCAGTGAGGTGGAGCTGAGGTACACGACTGTGAGATCCCTTGGAGCAGTGGGAACTATGCAAGAGAGTTGGAGAAGGAAATGAACAAGTATTGTGGGTGGTGCAATGGATCTCCTACACTGGAGGCAGTGATGTGGGTATTGACGGTGGCTCTACCAACAGCTACACTCTGACTGGTCTCACCAGTGGACAGACCTACACCATATTCATTGTAGCTACATCAGAACAACTTTCCAGTGATGCTGCCACATTTGAAATCACACTAAGTAATAGAGAGATAGGATCCTACAGATATAATCCCCTATTCCAGTCCCAGCTCCAGGACAGGTGTTTGTGTCAGTGAGCTCCATAACAGCCACCTCCATCTCTGTCTCCTGGAGTGTGCCCAGTGGGAGGGTGGCCAGTTGGGAGGTGGTCTGGAGACCCACTGACAGAGGCACTGAGAGCACCAGTGGTCCTCTGTCTGGTACTACCTACACCATCCACCAGTTGGACCCCTCCACTATCTACACACTCACTGTATCAGCCACTAATGTAGCTGAAACCACTGACAGCACTCCCATACTTTTCTCCACTGGTGGTAAATGAGAGTTTGTTGCTTCATAGTTAACCTTGTTTTGTTCCAGCCACTGATTTTTGCCAGGCAGAGAGTCCAAGCTGCGATACAGAGAACACTTCAGCCACAGGAATAGCAGCCGTGGCTGTGGTTCTTATAATTGCTACTTCACTATCTGTCATAGTGGTAGTGGTGCTGAGAAGTCGCAGTGGAAATTACTCTGCAAAAACAAGGCACAATCATACACTCTTACATTAGTATAAGAAAATAATGTCATTGTATTTGATACAGAGCTACAGTTGGAGCAACAAATCAATCAGTGGAGCTCTCTAAGTTCTCAGCAGTAACTTATGTGTAAGTCTCCCCATAATTATGAAACACTGTGAGGGCCTCTCTCCAGAGATCCAGACCAGCTCCAGACCACCAGTAATGAGGCCTACAATGCAGTGAGAGGGACTTGAAGGACAGCTGAAGATGGTTATGTAGTACCACAAATCCATCCTCCCACCACCACCTCTCAACCTACCACTGCTGCTGCTGCTGGAACTATGAACCTGTGTGACAGTGGACATGGCTTGTGCACAGAGCCCTGCTCCTTTGAACTTTGAACATTGTTTTTGCTACATTATGAATGTCAATACTGTACACTTCAACAGAAAGAATTTTGTTTGTAGTTTTAGCCAGTTTTATGTTGACACTGAACAACGCCATTTGCTGCATCAGTGCGCCGCGCGCATGCGCCAGACAAGGGCGTTATTCAATGCGCTGTTCGCGCAGGCGAGTTGACACACCTGCAGAGGAACTCTCAGCCTCCAGTGCCTTCTGTAAGTAAGTGTGCACATTTCCAACTGGCTATATAGCTTGCAGTTGATTTGCACGAGGAGCAACTTGCCAGAGTCTGCGCGGTGTTACGCGCGAGCTTTGCGGCGCGCTCGAATGGGCCTTCATTGTGTCCCCTGCAGGTTGTAGCCTAATTACCAAAGCCTGCCCATGACACCACACCCATGTGCAATAACCTAATTACATCCTTGTTGAAGACAATACATGAGGTGGATGTGGTATCCAGCCTCTTAGCAGCCCATTATCTACTGCTTTCAATATTTGAGTTTGTGTATGATAGCCTATCTACAACATACCCATGAACATCAGAGTGACTGTAACAATGCAGTGTTGTCATAAGCTAAAATAGTAGAAACAGTGGGAAAATCATTTCTTGGATGCACCAAACAGGAAGAAACAAGGGGTCAATACCCAGCAAAGATGCACAAAGCTATAATACATGACACCATCCCTATATCTTTGTTTTATTGTTTATAAGCAAAGTTTAATATGAGACAGAGATATTATAGGGATGGTGTCATGTAGCTTTGTGCATGTTTGCTGTGTAATGACCCCTTGTTTCTTCCTTTTTGGTGCTTCAAGCCATTCCTATATCCCCTTCATTTTGAAGAAATAATTTTTCCACTTGTATAATTATTATGTGCATGCCAACACGTCAGCAGAACGCACGCATAATTATAGATACACTTGCACATGTGCAACACATTTTGACTGTTACTGATTCCACCATCACTGTCCAGTGGGGGAGTGTAACATGTATGGATCAGGATGGAGCCATCACAGGATACACAGTCCAGTATGGAGTGATGGGGAGTAAATGGAGCTGGACACAGAGTAATTAAATGGAGCTAGTGCCACTCAGACTAACATATCTGGTCTGATGTCGTCTACTACCTACTCCATCCAAGTAGCTACAGTCAAAAGTGCTGGTACTGGAGAGTATAGATTAGTGATCCAGAAATGGCCGAAACTCTTCCAAGTTAGGCTGATAGTGTGAATTAGAAGAACATACTCATGATGTACTGTTAACCCTCGATGCAAATGCCCAGCGAGGGTTACGTATTGCATCTAAAGTGCTAGTGTGTAGTTCTGCGCCAAGGATTTGCGCTTTTGTACTTTCATTTTTCCAGATGTGTACCTCAGTCTGAACGGTGAAATCTTCACTAATCATAGCTATGTGGATATCAGTGACATTGGTTCCACTGATAACGCTGCTCTACTGTGTATCACTGACCGTCCTCCACCATCTGGTAGTATACTCTCTCTGGAGAAGACTGGTTTGCACCACGCAGAGGGGACCAGAGTAGATGGTACTGCTGTTGCAGGATGCAGCAGAACAAGAGGTCCTACGGTAGTTAGGATGAAGAGGACCACTGCTACTTGTAGTAACGTGTAACTCTGGCGTGTATAGCCCGCTAGCACGCACCGTAGTTCACCAGTTTGTGATACGAGTACACAGACCCTATAAACAGCGTCCAACACACTTATATACAACAGACTGCACATGCGCACAAGTACAGCATACACACATACAGTCAGTACACATTCTGCATGCACTAATACCACATCTCCCCTTTAAGTCATGCACTAGCATGCACAAGATATACCCATATAGGATAGACAACATACACCAATGTGTCCTTCTGAGTCTCTCTCAGATCAGTTCAGTGTGACCAACTAGGGTCTAGCCGTTCGGGTGGTCGGGAGTTACGGCTACTCCTTCAAAGCGCTTGAGGTGCGGTCGATTCGTCGGATGTAGTCGGTTCGTTCGACTGTTCGTTAGGCTGTTCGCTTGACTCGGTAGCGTTAGTTCCCTCTTGACCACTCTGCTCAGAGGACTCGGCCGTATCTGGGTTAGGCAGACGTATTAGATTGCGTCTGTTTCTACGAAATGTTCCATCCCCAGTCACAACTTGGTAGGATCGAGGTGCCACCTCTCCTTCGACCTCTGCTTCACTCTCTCTCCCTTGGACCCAGACATGGTCGCCAGGCTGCAATGGTGGGAGTTCTCGAGCTCCGTGGTGAGAGTCGAAGTCTTTTTTCTGTCTGCGTTTTATTTGCTGGTCTTTGGTTTTCACCAAAGAGAGGTCGGGAATGCGTGGTTTCCTCTGAGCTCTGGTCGTTGGAACTGTCGTCCTGAGAACACGTCCCATCAGGAGCTGAGAGGGGCTGTAACCTTGTTGTAGTGGTGTGGTACGGTAAGTCAAGAGAGCTTTGTAGGGATCGTCCCCTTTCTTCAGCAGATTCTTTATGGTTCTGACGGCTCTCTCCGCCTCCCCGTTCCCCTGAGGGTGATATGGGCTAGTCGTGACATGACGAAACTCATACTCCTCTGCAAACTCTGCAAACTCTCTCGAGGAGTACTGTGGCCCATTGTCGGAGATCAGTGTCTCAGGAATACCGTGTCGTGCGAATAGAGACTTCAAGTGAGTGACCACCTCTGCTGTAGTTGGTCGGTTGACACGAGCGATCTCGATGTACCTCGAATGATAGTCCACAACGAGGAGATAGATGGACTGGTTCCACTCAAAGAGATCACTGGCCACTTTTTGCCAAGGCAAGGCAGGTAGAGGGGTTGGATTGAGTGGTTGTGGTCGTTGCTGTTGAGCTTTCAGGCACTCTCTGCAGTTCTGGATCAACTCTTCCATCTGCTTTGAAAGCCCTGGCCACCAGATCGATTGCCTGGCCAGCTCACGGCATTTAGTGATGCCTTGGTGACCACAGTGGATTTTGTTCAGAAGTGTTTTGCGTAGCGGTGGAGGGATGACAATACGGCTGCCTCTGAGTAAAAGGCCTTCCTGTACTGTCAGTTCCGCTGCGACAGTGTAGTACGGTTTGACTTCAGCTGGCAGAGCGTTCTTCTCGGGCCAGCCTGACTGACAGAATTCTACCATGTGCTGACATGCACGGTCGGGCTTCTGGCACTCACGTATTTCAGCCAGTCGTCGCTCTGTTGCTGGTAGATGTCTGACCACGAAGTCTACGTAAGCAGTGGTTTCTTGCTGAAGGAACTTGTCATCTGCCGATGGAGCTGATACTGGAGCTCTTGAGAGTGCGTCCGCGATCGTCAGGTCTTTCCCTGGAACATGGCTGATTGTGAACTGGAAGCGCATCATACGCATCCTGAACCTCTGTACCCGAAGAGGTAGCTCTTCCAGGTGTTTGGAGCTGAACAGTGGTACCAACGGCTTATGGTCGGTCTGGATGTGGAATTGCAACCCGATGAGGTAATCTGAGAGTCGTTCACAGGCCCACGTAAAGGCTAATGCCTCCTTCTCAATCTGAGCGTATCTCTTCTCAGTTGGTGTCATCGCTCTGGATATGTAGGCCACTGGCTGAAATTCCCCTGACGTCTGTCTCTGTAGTAGGACGGCTCCGAGACCGTGTGACGATGCGTCAGCTGAGAGTACAGTCTCCAGGTTCGGGTCAAAAAGAGCAAGAACTGGGCTGGCAGTAAGAACTTCTTTGACTCTGTTGAACGAGCTCTGCTGTGGTTCTCCCCACAGCCATGCATTCTCTTTCACCAACAACTCTCTCATTGGCTGAGTAATTTCCGCGAGATTTGGTGAGAACTTGCTCAGCTGGTTCACCATGCCGAGGAATCGACGGATGTCGCTGACGTTTCCTGGAGTCGCAAATCGTACGATGGCAGAGACTTTG